GGCTGCATAGTATTCCATGGTGTACATATACCACAGTTGATAGTCTCTTTCTAAAATTCCCTACGGACCTAAGCTTATGTCCTTTCCTCTGGTCTCTGAGAATCAAGCAGTTCCTCTCTTATTTAATGTCAACTCATCTCTTCAGGCATCTTTTGAAATTTACCCATCATTGAACAACTCTGTGTAGTCAACCTTTTTCTTTCTTTACTAGATTCTTTTGTTTAATGTCTCCCAATATGAAGCAAAACAAAACAAAAAAACTTGTGAATATAGACTCTTCTTTAGCTGATATCTCTGCTGCACACTTCTCAAAAGACTAGCATCCTCCTGATACAGAGCCATAAAGGCCCGAGGTGGATCAACAGCAAAGATGTGGAGGGCATTATCTGGCTCAGCTATCAAGCTTGAGACGACCTCAAATTTTGGCAGCTGTTGCATGGCAAATTTATACAGGGAAGCAAACCTTGGTCCACCCCAAAATTCATGGCCTCCATTTTCAAAAATAAATCTAATTTACCTCAAGATTCAGAAAATAAATCAAAGGCTAGAAGATCCCAAATCTAAAAAGCTATCTATTAAGCTTTTTGGATGATCTATTCCAACAGCATTCCTTCCTCCAATACATTCCTTCTATGTATTCCACAATCTGCTATGCATGGTTTCCACCTCAGCCACTCTACTGGGACCACTCTCATCTTGATTACCCAGGCCCCTTATTGCCAAATTCAATAATCACTTCTAATTTCTCCTCTTGTTCTATTAACAAGGTCGCTTCTGCCTCCTGGAAATCTATTAGAATTCCAAGACATTCCTCTCTTCTGAATTTCCTTGTGAATCTCCAACTTCTTCTTCTCTAACTCTTGTAAGCTTCTTTTCCTCTCCCCAAATTCCAATGTCGATAAAAGCTGTGGAGAAGCTTTATGTTAACTATATAGAAATATTACTATGACAGGAGACTGAAACATATTTCCTTCTGCTTTAGGTGTTCTTATCTTAAGGGAGGAGGGTATATAATGATTAGATTTGTACATAATAGAATTCCTTCATTAGAATAATAACCTTAAGGTCTAATTTGTTCAGTTAAAGATAATTTTAACTCTCCTGTAAACAAGAGCAAAGGTGACAAAAATGAAGAGTGTTTATTTCCATCATCTGTAATATAAAATTGAAGTAATTACTGGCAAGAGCTTTTAAAGAACTTAATCATTGCCTGTTTGAATATGACTGGAAATGAGGCATCTGGAAAAAATCCTATCTAGACTTTGTGAGACTAGTTAATGGCCACCCCAACAAATGCCCCTATGCTATGCCTACCTGGGTATTTAAAGTAAAATGTTAGAAAGGAGGCAAATTGGGAGAAAACTTAGAAAGGTATTATGGTGTCAGTGTTCATAAAATATTTATAAAGTCACTTTTTCAGTGAGGCTTATTCAAAGACATCCTTATTCCCATGGTGTGTATTATATTTTGTGCTAATTAATTTGTCTACAATTTCTGCTTGACCACAATCTATGTACTTTTAAGTTATCCTGGGGCTCTAATTAAACCATGACTGCTAAGGAACTGGGTCTGATCAAAAAAATAGTGGAGTATTTCCCTTGATTATGACATCAAGCCTTTTCTCTTTTCACCTTGCATTCTTCCAGAGCTATTATAACCATCCTTAGAGTTTCATTTTTTTGAGACAGAGTATCACTCTGTCACCCTGGATAGAGTGCTGTGATGTCATAGCTCACAGCAACCTCAAACTCTTAGGCTCAAGACATCTTCTTGCCTCAGTTTTTCTTTCTTTCCTTTTTTTAATTTTAGTACTGATGTGGTCTCACTCTTGCTCAGGCTGGTCTGGAACTCCTGAGCTCAGGTGATCTGCTTGCCTCAGCATCCCAGAGTGCTAGGATTACCGGTGTGAGCCACCATGCCCAACCCATCCTCAGAGTTTCAAATACAACCTTTAGGTGGGTGATACCATGTCTTCAGCTCAGAGCTTTTCTTATCCTTCAAATTTATATTCCTCACAGCTGGGTGTATCTGTCTACTGGTAGACCTCAAAGATACCCTAAATGCTACAGGACTCAAACTGAATTTCTCAACTTCTGTTCTTTACAGGCTGTAAATCCTTAGCCCCTCCACCTTTGTTACCCTTCACATACTGATCAGTCCTCCAGTCTGTTGCTTAACCATCTTCTAGCTCTGTGGTTCAGTAACAGCAAGCTTCTTACTATTCTTCCACTTGATCATCCAGTTTCTGTCTCTGCTCATACTCATCCCTTGTCCTCAGTGCAGACCCCTTACCACACTCTCATCACAACTCCCTCTTCACTCGTATAACTTCTAGGCATTTAGAATGCAACCCAGGGACCATCTTCTCTGGAAGCTCCTCCCAGCAAAGTCTTACTTTCTTTCTTGGTCAGGTACCATTAAAGAGAACTCCCTTCAGTGCCTGGGCATGTTTTTATCCTCCCAATATTTACTGACATGACACTACTAGCTTTTTGGAGACAAGGGTGACATTTTATTAATTTTTGTATCTCTAGTCTTTCAGGCAGGTCTAATAAAGAAGGTACTCACAATTTATGCTTGTGAAATTAACAAGTAATGGATGAGAGATCCCTTCCCTCCCATAAAAGAGGACTCCTTTTCATCCCATTTTTGAGACAATCTCTTGCACTTCTGACTCTGTACCAGAGATCACAACCCAAAAAAAAAACAAAAAAAACCAAAAAAACCAAGTGGATACAGTTTAGTGTGGTGTTAGGCATTATGTGTTACTGGACAGTCCCCGCTGGAAATTATTAGATTTATATTTCAATTCTCTGATGAAGATGCCAGTAGAATGATTGAAAAGAAAAGGCCATTTGATCATCAAAGGCAGAATCAATAAAAAACAGTTGAAATGTATGTTCTGGGTGCAGGCTCCTGCTCCAAGAAGTCTCAAGATTATTACCCTGCCTTTAATATGCATGAAGAGCTGTGGGAAGATCATATCCGTTGACTTAGTCATTCCATTGAGGAATCTATTTGAAGAAGATAATCAGAATTATTGGCATATTTGAATAGAGATATTTAACACCACATTATTCACAACTAAACAGAAAGTAGAAAGAGCCTATACACCAGACATTAGCGATTAAGTAAATTATGGATATTTGTATGTTATGTAGCCACTAAAATGATGTTTACAAAAAGTTTTGATGATATTAGAAAATGTGTAGGAGAAATGGCAAGCTAAGCAAAATAAGCTCTGACTACAAAAATAAGAACTTAAAAGGATATGATCTCAATTATGTAAAAATACTGAGAAATTCTGGAAGAAAACACCAAAGGTTAATGGCACTTACCAAAAAGTGGAGAAATTATAGGCAATTATTATTTTTTCTTCACTGCATTTACCAAATATTTCAGGATAAGCATATGTAATATTTATAATAAGGTAAAACACAAATGTTTACTGACGAGAGTGGAATGTATTTTTTTTCCAGAAGTGAAGGTAACCTAAGGATTGACGAATTACTTAATTTTTAGTTGATAAATGCTTTTCCAGAAACTTTTAAGCTATTAAAAGGCAACTACTTTGAGAGGTGAAAATACCACCATCATATTAAAGTAAGGATAGAAGGTGGAAGTTATAATGAATTATATTTTCACAGTTACCTTTGATATATTCTTTTATTTTCTAGCTTCTACTTCTGCACCTGAATCAGCTTTAAAATGGTCTCTCTCTGAAACATGGCAAGGTGTTGAGGAGGGCTGGGGAGGATACAACCACAGCATTCCAGGCCCAGGGGATGACGTCCTGATTTTATCCAGTGAGTAAAATCCTTTATTCTTGAGATAAATCACAGACAGACTAAACTAGGCCAAATCTGATTAGGGATTATGTTTCATTTATCTTGTACAACACAGTAAAGAGTATGGAAATAAGTAGGCACTTAATGTTTACAATTCTCTTTTATGTGTTAATGTAGAAAAGGCATTTCACAGCCCAATGAAATCCAGAAACAATAGCTCCACTTACTTCATTTAAAGTGGAATAATTAATCATCATGCTAAAATGAGTTAGAATAATTTACTAAGTGAATAATTTTATTTTAGTTTAGTTTTTTGTTAAATTTTAATTAAAGTCATAACTGTATGCATTTATGGGGTACAATGTGATGATCTGATATACAATTTAGAATGCTTAAATCACCACTCTTGCTTGTTTTTGGTGGTAAGACATTTAAAATTTACTCTTAGTTATTTTGAAACATACCTTTGCATTATATATATTAGGTGAGATCCCACTGAATGTCCTTCCTCCTCCTGTTCGAGGGTACCAATTGCCATACCCTTCCCCTCCCCCTCTTCCCCCCTCCCACTTGCTAGACTATACTTGTGCTTTATCTTTCGTATGAATATGTGTTTATATATTGGTTTTATAATAGTATTGAGTACATTGGATACTTTTTTCTCATTTTGAGATACTTAACATAAAAGATGTAAAATCTCCATCGTTTTTATGGCTGAATAATATTCTGTGCTATCCATATATCACAACTTGTTATTCCATTCATGGGTGCTTGGGTTGCTTCCATGACTTGACAATTATGAATTGAGCTGCAGTGATCATTCTGATGCAAATGTCTTCGTGAAAAATGATTTTTATTCTTCTGGGTAGATACCTAGTAATAGAATTATAGGATGAAATGGAATGTCAACTTTTAGTTCTTTAAGGATTTGCCATACTTCTTTCCATAAAGGTCACATCAATTTTCAATCCCACCAGCCGTGTGTGTAGAAGTGTTCCCTTCTCTCCACATCCACAGCAGCATCTGGTGTTTGGGACGTTCTGATGTGGGCTAATCTCACTGGAGTTAGGTGATATCTCAAAGTGGTTTTGATTTGCATTTCTCTGATGATTAAAGATGATGAGATTTTTTTCATGTGTTTGTCACTTAACTGTCATCTTCAGAGAAGTTTCTTGCACACAAAGAAATGGGTTGTTTGTTTTTTTTTCTTATTGATTAATTTGAGTTCTCTGTGACCTTTGTCAGAATCACACCATGCAAAAATTTTCTCCCATTCTGAAGGCTGTTTGTTTTACTTACCGCGTCCTTAGCTGTGTAGAAGCTTTTTAGCTTGATCAAATCCCAGTTATTTATTTTTGGTGTTGCTTCAATTGCCAGGGTGGCGGGTGTCTTTCTTATAAAATATTTTCCCAGGCAAATATCTTCAAGTATTTTCCCTATACTCTCTTCTAGTATTTTATAGTTTCATGTCTTAAATTTAAATCTTTTATCCAGAGAGAATCAATTTTAGTTAGTAGTCAGAGGTATGAGTCCAATTTTAGTCTTCTACAAGTGGCTAAGAAGTTCTCCTAGCACTATTTGTTAAATAGAGATTCTTTTCCTCAATGCATGTTTTTGTTTGGCTTGTCAAAGATAAAATGATGCCATGTGGCTAGGTTTATCTTTAGATCCTTTATTCTAGTCCATAGATCTATGTCTCTATTTTTTTGCCAGTACCGTGCTGTATTAATCACTATAGATTTGTAGTATAACTTGAAGTCTGATAATGTGATACCTCCAGCTGTGTTTTTATTTCTAAGGATAGTATTGGCTATTTGGGTTTTTTTCTGATTCCATATAAAATGAAGTACTATTTTTTCAAGTTCTTTACAGTATGACATTGGTGCTTTGATGGGGATTGCATTAAATCTGTAGATTGTTTTTGGTAGTATGAACATTTTAACAATGTTGATTCTTTCCAACCACGAGCATGATATATTCTTCCGTTTGTTAACATCTTCAGCTATTTCTTTTCTCAGGGTTTCATAATTCTCTTTATAGACATCTTTCATGTCCTTTGTTAGATATATTCCTAGGTATTTCATCTTCTTTGTCACTACTGTAAAAGGAATAGAGTCTTTGATTATATTCTTGGCTTCACTATTTTTAGTATGTATAAAGGCTACTGATTTGTGAGTATTGATTGAGACACTTCTATATTCCTTGATCATTTCTAAGAGCTTTGTTGTTGAGTCCTTGGGGTTTTCTAGGTATAAGATAATGTCATCCTCAAAGATCAAGAGTTTGACCTCCTCTGTCCCCATTTGAATACCCTTGATCTTCCCTTGCCTGATTGTGATGGCTAGGACTTCCAGTACTATGTTGAATAATAGTGGTGACAATGGACATCTTTGTCTAGTTCCAGATCTGAGTGGAAATGTTTTCAATTTTACTCCATTCAATATATTGGCTATGACTTTATTGTAGATGGCCTCTATCAGTTTTAGAAATGTCCCTTATAAGCCTATTTTCTTAAGTGTTCTAATCATGAAAATATGCTGGATATTATCAAAAGTCTTTACTGCATCAACTGAGAGAACCATATGATCTTTGTCTTTATTTTATTTATGTGGCGTATCATATTTATAGATTTATGTATATTGAACCAACCTTGTAACCCTAGTATAAACCAACTTGATCATGGTCATAACTTTTTTGATGTGTTGTTGAATTCCGTTTGCTAGGATCTCATTGAATATTTTTGTAGCAATATTCATTAATGATATTGGTCTATAGTATTCTTTCTTTATTGGGTGCTTTTCTGGTTTGGGGATCAAGGTGATATTTGCTTTGTAAAATGTGTTAGGGAGGATTCCTCTGTGTTTTGGAATAAATTAAGCAATATAGGTACTAGTTTCTCTTTGAAGGTTTGGTAGAATTCTAGTGTGAAACCATCTCATCCCAGGATTTTATTTTTGGGAGATTTTGTATAGTTGGTGCTATTTCAGGGCTTGATAGAGTTCTATTCAATATTTCTAATTCTTTCTGGTTGAGTTTAGGAAGGTGGCATGCTTCCACTGGTCCATTTCCTCCATATTTTCATATTTCTGAGAATAGAGGTTTGGGTAGTAATTGTTAAGGATTTTTTTGTATTTCTCTGGTATCTTTTATTTCTCTTTTATCATTTCTGATTGAATTTATTAGAGATTTTACTTTTATTTTTATGGTTAGTCTAGCCAAGGGGTTATCAACTTTATCTAACAAATGCAATCAACATAGCCTGGTATCTTGTACCCTCAATGAATCCCCAATAATATATATAAAAAAATCTTTTCACAGAACCAACTTTTTGTTTCATTGATTTTTCAATTGATTATTTTGTTTTTAATTTTGTTTAATTCTGTTCTAATTTTGGTTATTTCTTTTCTTCTGCTGAGTTTGGGGTTGGATTGATCTTCCTTTTCTACTTTGTTAAGATGGCCTATTAGGTTGCTGACTTGCTCTCTTTCTGTTTTCTTGATGAAGGCTTCTAATGTATCTCACAGGTTTTGATAGTTTGTGCCTTCACTATCATTTTGTTCCTATGATCTAATGATTTCCTTCTTAATCTTGTCTTTCACTGAGCTATCATTTAGCCTAAGGTTATTTAGTTTCCATGACTTTGTTTGAGGATGAAGATTTTAGTTGCTGTTTAGTTTAACTTTTATTCCATGATGGTCTGAGAAGATACAAGGAATAATTTCTATTCTTTTAAATTGTTGACTTTAGTCTTGTGTCATAAGATATGATAAATTTTGGAGGATGATCCACGGGCTTATGAGAAGAATGTGTATTCAGTTTTATTAGGATGTAATGTTCTATATTGGTGTGTTAAGTCTATTTGTTCTAGGATCAAGTTTAAGTCCATTATTTCTTTGTTTAGTTTCTTCTTAGAGGATCCATCTAGAATTGCCAAAGGGGTGTTAAAATCTCTAAGTATTATAGTGCAGGAAGATATCATATTGTTGATATCCATTAGGCTTTGTTTTATCAATTGAAGAGCATTCAGGTAGTGTGTGTTAATGTTAATTATTGAAATCTCTTCATGGTGAGTGTTTCCCTTGACAAATATGTAGTGTCCATTCTTGTCTTTCCTTATCTTTATGTTTATATCCAATTGTATCTGCAAATAAAATTGCAACACCTGCTTGTTTCTGATTTCCATTTGCCTGCATTATTGTCATCCACCCCTTCACCTTGAGTCTTCTTTTATCTTTTGAGGCAAGGATCTCAACAGATCTTTTGGAGGCAAGAGATAGCTGACCTGAGTTTTTGTATCCAGTCAGCCAACCTGTGCCTCTTTAGAGAACTTAAACCATTCGCATTAATTGAGAGAATTGATAGGTGTGGGAGCATTTGGGGCATCTTTTTTTTGTAAGTCCAGGGCATATTTTTAAAACTTTCATCATTGTGGAAGTAGGTTTTGTTCTTTTAATTCTGGGTGAGTTTACTTGAGTGGTAGACCATTGTGCTGGTTATTGTGATAAATAGGTCTGAGTATTTCCTGGACAGCTGGCCTAGTTATGGCAAATTTCTTCAACATATGGATTTCTCTAAAATACTTTATTTCTTTATCACAAGTGAAACTCAGTTTAGCTGGATACAGGATCTTGGGCTGAATGTTGTTTTGTTTTAGAAGGTTGAAGGTCAATGACCATCCTATTTTGCTTGAAAAGTTCAGCTGTAAGATCTGCAGTCATTCTGATGTTTTTCCCTTTGTAGGTAATACTTTTCTTATACCTGGCTGCTTGTAGGATTTTCTTCCTCATATTAACTTTGGTAAAGTTAATTACAATGTGTCTAGGAGATGCTTTATTTGGATTGAGTTGTGCTATTGTTCTGAATCTATCTACTATCTGAATTTCTGTTTCTCTTACAATGCTTGGGAAATTCTCCCTATAATGTCTTGGAGTAGAACATCTATGTTTTCAGGACCATGCTCGTCTCCTTCAGGAATCCCTATAATTCAGATGTTTGATCTTTTGGAATGGTCCCTTAAT